TTAGGCTCGCTGTTTGCCCCGAGGGCGCGGCGCGTAACGAATTCTTCAGCGAGCTCTGCGGCTTTCGTTACGGTGTTCACGTCCGGTCTATCCTGCACCCAGAACCTCACCTTTTCTGGTAACCTTTGATAGAATTGTTCCAGACCGATACACTCGAGCACCTTGTCATGATTCCCATACGCCTTTGCCTCTTTGAGCCACTCCCCCATGTTGGCCATTAACTTGTAAGCAAACTCCGGGTATGAATCATTGTTCTCTTCTACGGCATTGCGAAATTTTTGTCTGAAACCTTCCGCTGACAACCTGTATTTCTTGAGAAGGCTCGACTTTACCTCACTGTACTCGTCTGCCTCCTCTTTCGTGAGGCGCGCGATTACTTCTGAGGCCTCCCCCGGAAGTAGGGATAAGAAGCATTGAGGCCATGTATCCTGGCTGAAACCTTGCCTTTCACAAGTTCTCTCAAAGTTTACGAGGAACAGCCCAATGTCCTCCCCTAGCTTGTACGATCTCATTAGGTCCGTCATTTTGAACCTGACCCGCTCTGCGGTACCGGATGCCTCGCTGCCTCCTGCTCTACTATTATGGCTAATCTCTAGCTCGAGGCGCTTCATTTCAAGCTCGTGCTTTCGCATCTTATCTGCCTCGGCTTCTGCCGCTTTCCTTTCGGCCTCGGCCGCCTTTCTTTCGGCCTCTGCCGCTTGCCTCTCCTGAATCTCCTCGACACATTCTGACAGCTCGTCATCCTCCGCCCCCAATGCGAGAATCGCCTCTATCAGCTCTGGCTTTCTTTGAGAGTCCGACACCTCCAGATTCAACTCCCTTGCAAGTAGCAACAACATGGACTTTCGCAGGGATTTCAGATTCATGGCTGCCTCCAGTACCCCTGTCTCTGTTCCACAAAGATTCCTGACCTGCAACTAATTAACCTTGACGGCAACGACAGCTCTAGGTTCCTGCCTTGCCTCAAGTTTTCCGTTAACTTAGTCTACAAATAAAGCTTCAAGAAGCTCTTATACAGAATCCTGCCCTGCCACTGTTAACCTTGACGCCACTGACAGAAAGAGCTTAACCAAGCTATCCCGCAATTTCTGCCTGACGCAAGTTACCTGTTAACCCAATGACCAAGACAGCCCCTCTCTACCAGCTTTTACTTAACACATAGAGTAAATGCCTGGTAAAATTTAACAGAGAAAGCCGGCACTCACCCAGTTCGCAGTCATGTCTCCGGCGTCGTGCCTCTCAGAAGTGCCGTTCGATTCCCTTTGGAAGTCGACGAGCTCGTGTCATCCTTCTCCTGTCGTCCCGTTGTTGAACTTCGGGCTCACTCCGTCCAGTGGTCGCTTTCGGGGTTATCGGCATCCCACCGCTGCCATCCAGTTGTTGGGACTCCGGGTCCTGCCGGTCTCGTTTTCGGTAGCTGGCCCCGTCGTAGGATCCATCGTCCGACAATTCAGCGAGAAGAAGCGCCCGAACGAACAACAGAGATTTATTTACATGTGGAGAAGTGATCAAGTGATCCAAAGAGAGAAGAGTGAGTGTGGTACAAAACGTCTTCGGCATTTTATAGCGCCGCGTGGTTGACACTGGGCGCCTTGTCCGCATCGTCAGCCAATACGGTGTCCCCGGCACCTCGGCCACGAGGGAGGGGGAAACACCTCTCACAACACATGGAGTGGCACAACCTAACACGATGTCCATATATGGTCACGGCGCCCTAAAATGTTACCAAACATGGTCACGAATGCACCGCAGATTCCGGAGTTCTCCCGGCGAGAGGAACCTGAATGGGGAGGTGGGGGTGGACGACCCCGTCGGTCAAGAACCGGTTCTCCCCCAAACTCTTCTTGCTTGGTTCCCTAGGGCCGGTCGTAACAGCTGGAAACACTTCAGTAGCAAACAGTAACTGCTAATGAGCAAACACCTGAAGAAATATTTATATTCACACGGAGCAAAGTATATACGAGTGGTACTAAAGGAACCTACAAGCTGGTAAGCTTCGGGCTTCGTAGTAAAATACTTTATTCGCAGGGTCCTGCGTGCAGGTAGTTTCCGGCCGCGCAGGGCTCGGACTACCCTTCTAGTGCTTTAGTCTAATAGAGTCTTAAGAACACTTGGGTCCCTTCAGCTCAGTTTTACAAGCCGGTGGTTCTCGTTCTCTTCTGTCTGGCCAGCGGTTCCTGAAGCCGCTGGATCGCCCATTTTCGGGACTGGTAGTCCACAGAGCGAATCCATCGCTCCATCTGTTCGGGTAGGGTCTGCTTCGAGACGAGGTAGGTCTTCGTCTTCGCTCGTTGCGCCTCTACCATTGACGTGTTCTTCACTGGCCGTTCCGCTGGACGCTTCACTGCTCGGTTGCACTGCACCATCACATTACGTCCAAGTGTCGCGAAAGGCTAGCTAGCTAGCAAAAAAATTACGTGCTGCACAAATGACAGTGAAGCAACGCTTTTTTTTTCTCCATGCGTCGCGAGCTTCCGCTTGGCCGGGGTGGCCCAAAAACATGCTTGTAAAAGTGGATCGAGGTCACTCCTCGCGCGTTCGGTGACCACATGCGCGTAAGTGCGATGACGCGGCATAGCACGGTGTTACAGATATATGGCATTTTTTTTTCCTCGCTGAAAATGAGAATGAATAACGAGACTGAACCACATGAAAATGTTGACGCTGCGCTCCTTTCAAAGCGAATCTTTCTGGTACCCTGCGATGGCCAGAGGGCGCTACCAAGCACCGATCTGTAAGTCCACTTTTGTCGTCATTGGCCGGTAGGGGGCTAATAATACATGAAATATTCGAAAAAGCGGATCGGGGTTCATAGTTCGTAACATGGAGCACTGTAGTACATACAGGTTAGGGACGCTTTCGTCTCGCGATGAGGAAGTGAATGTCACGGCTAGTCTACCCGTATTCACCGAGTTACGCCCGAGTTACGCCCCTTTCACTCACGCACGGCTGTGACACTCTCGAAGCTATAATCAGTGCACACATTAAACTGCATGATGACTTTCAATGCACATGAACAGTACTGAATAAAGCGCCGTACGCGTACTGTGGAATAAATCGGAGACAGTGAGAAAAAATTGATAGGACGCAGTTAAGGCAAGGAGGTTAACCACCTGGCGACATATTTGACATTTTATCCACTTTCGTTTCCGTTTCCCTTGCATTGCTACCAGAATACGCAACAGTTTTTTTACGGTTTGTTTGCATTGACATTGTCTGGGTCCTGGAATGTTTTGCTGTTCAGATGCGCCAACAATTCTTAAGTTACTTATAAATTATGGTGAAGTTATCTTCATCCCCTCGAGCGTGCGAGTTTACAGCCTCTAGATGAAGAATCTATTGCGCGACTCTCTCAATATTGAATGAGATTTAACTTCCGGTCATTTCATTAAAATAATTGATTTTAAATAAATCTGCTTCCAATCATGAACCTTAAATTGGAATAATCTGCATTTATCACAACTAATAAGTGCAGACTCCATTGAACATATATCTTCATGTTCGCCATTGTCATGTTGATTAATCTTTCATTTCTTATTTTTAGTGCTCCTTTTTTGTATTTCAATTCTTTTATTTTGTATTTCAAGTGTCTTGCGGGGGTATAGGCAAATGTTTATGCGCATGCAATGTGTTCTTACTTCTGTTATCTCTTTCTGACGTTGTTTTCATTGATTATGTTTTTCGTATTTCTTCAGTGTACATCTTGTTTAGTTGTGACTTTCTCCTTTCATTTTTTTGTGATTGCTGTTCATGGATATATGCATATGCGTATATATATGTGTGTGTATATATATGTATATATATGTGTATATATGTGTGTGTGTATGTGTATATTTATATTCATGTATTTGCCCTCCTGCTTGGACCCAAATAGGGTCTGCAGTATTGTATAAATAAATAAAATAAATAAATAAAGGGACGCTAAAGGGAATAGCAATTTGTGCCAGACCGAGAGGTAACGATTGAGAACGTCTAAAAAATTAACACACAGCAGCGCTTTAGTTACCGAGAAAATAGGGTAAATGTGCGGCATGATTTGCCCCACGAGTGGGACATTCTAGAACACAAGCACAATAACGTGGTTGAGATTCAGACAATTATTCGTGAGTGCTAGAACTACCCATGACAAAAAAAAATCTTGTATTACAAGGCGAAACAAAATGAAATCTTTGCTTCCTAGTCGATTCGCGCAAATAATAATAATATAAGAAACACAATGTTACCCTTCGAAACGGCGCAAGTTTCATTTTCGCACGGCTACGCTACTCCGTTAAAACAGTGGCTAAATTCCCTTAAGGTGCGTATATATAAAACTTGTTTTAACTATAGGGACCTTAAATTTTCTTGCTCCGCTGCGCCTACTACCGGGCAGCGCGGACATGATGAATGGTAAATCAGAAGGCCGTCCTCAAAAGCGGGCGGTTTTAGTGGCGCTAACTGTATGCAGACCACTAAACCATGATTTTTTTTACCAATCTAGGTATTTATTTTGTCACGAAACAAGCACTAAGAAGTTCCCGGAGTTCAAGTTGACTTAAGATTTGCCTTCAGTGTCCTTTCAACCAACTCGCCCAATTTTAATGGGCAGACCTTGCGCCTCTCCCCCCCCCCCCCCCTTATCTCTCTTAGCCGAATAAGAAGGTATCTAGCCATTAAAAAAAGGTGGATTTCCCTATGACATCGTCATGCTATTGGCTCTGCATAGTATTTGGAGGTCACGCACGGCCACACGTCATGCTGATGTCAATGCCCGACGAGCTATGCATAGAATACTTTCGAGAATCATTAACTTCGTTTCTGGAACCACACAAAAAAAAATGCAAAGGATGTCCTGATTGGGTACCTCGCATGACATCCCTATAGGACATGAAATAATTGTAGTAAACTTGTATACCGTTGAAAGTTGAAGCACCGCAATAAAGAAAATTGCCGCCCCTCTGACACCCCCTCCCCCATCGCCCCGTGCGCATGCCTATAGATGATCGAGCACCACGACTCACCGTAACACGGCGTTCTTTGTAGGGGCCTTCGTGGATCACCGCGGTCTTCTGTTCGGCTTTCTGCAGTGGAATGACCTCCTCGCGGTACAGCTCAGTGGTCTGCATCTGGCAACACAGCGGCGCGCTGCTGAAACCTCGCTGGACAATGGCTCCAGGCGCTGACGCTGGCCAGCAGCAGTGCGCCGATACCACCGCCGCCGGCTTGACGCTGCCGCCGGCGACCATGGGCCGAGCCAGCTGGCTGGCCAGCCTCAGCATGCGCCCGGCGCTGCCCGAGGTTGAAGCCATGGTGACGACCACGTCAGGCCTGCACGCGAAGAACAGAAATGAATATCGTCTGTCATCAGACAGGGCGTATGCTATGAAAAGAAATTGAGTGTAATAAACCACGACAGCACTCACGCATTAAGTGAACATACCGCAAGCTTACACAAGCGTGAGACATGACCTAGACGAAATGACGTTCACCTACAAGAGGGTATTGAGACCATGGAACTGCTCATCACAGTTTCGAAAGTCAAGGAAAGCGTTGCTGCGATTTCCTGAGGAATGTCGCGGGCTGATTCGCCGTACGTGATATCAAGCGTGGAACGTCGTCTGCAGCCATAATTTTTCTCTTCGCTTCTCTAACTATTCTTCCCTTTTCCCCACTTGCAGGGTAGCCTACCAGGCTCAGTCTTTGTTAACCTGAATGCCTTCATTTTATCATTTTCCTTCCCCTCCTCTTTTTCCAGACATTTGCTACCACCTAAAAATGTATGCCCACGCTTTAAACTTGGGCCGTACGTAAGGTCAGGCGAGTTCAAAAAGCGGACCATGCACGAGCGCTACGAAAATATGCAGCGTCACGTTTATGTGCGCCCTAATTGTATACATTATCAATTCCAGTTACGAGGTGATGCGTGCGTTAAGTGCACTCTTTTCTTTAGTTCTTGTCCATAGAAATTACGTAAGCGTATAGAATGTAACGTCCAAACACGCTCTCTTTTATACGTATACATTGTTTTATGCGGTGCTGTTTTCTCGGACATAGAATTACGAGAGAAATGAGAGCAAAGATTGTTAGGACCGCGGTGACGAAGTCTTCATCTGATCAGAAACGTGCGCAAGGTTTCCCTTCAGGAAGAGGGGGTGGGTGGTGTTCATCGCAGCACTTTTCTTATTAAGTCAACGTAAAGGGCAGACATTTCGTCTCCCCCCTCTCAAATAGGGAGCCCCTCCCCCTTCCCCCCGCCCTCTTGCGCACGCCTACGCGTCTGATGACCTGCTGCAGATAACGAGGGCGCGTTTCTACAAGACTTCCTCTAATCTTTACCGCGCAAACTCTGGCGAATACGTCGCATATTCGCGTGACCTTTCAATAAACTGCCAAAGCTGTAGTGCACTGGCATCCCTTCCCCATAATATCTTTGTCCGTTTGGCGTACGTTAATTATCTACATGTCCGATCGAATAACCAGATTTTCCGAACTCTGCATAAGGAAAGGGCAATCGGGTGCGTACAGAATGATGTTGAAGTGAGAATTAACGAGTCCAAGCGCGGAAATTCTCCTTTCTCGAACACTTACCTCTACTGCTGCACGCACCAAGCCCTCGTTCGTGGTCCTCAACACTCCACATGCTTTTTCATGATCTCGAACGCGTATTGCTTAAGCTTAGGACAATAAGAACCATGCTATGTCTACTAACTGCTGAATATATATGTACTGGTACAACTCACGCCACTCGGAATTTAAGAAACGTGATTCGCAAGAATACACCTGTTGGTGTTCTGCTGGCTAAACGTCGAAGGGAATCCAGCCTGCACCGGTTTTACAAGGTTCTATACGAACGCCGACGATCGAATGTAAGCACTACGCGGAATTCTGCCGTTATTTTATAGCGTCCCGATTTCGCGCGAACAATAGTCGACGCTGCTGCAGCGGACGGATGTCACTTGTCACATTTGAAGTAAAAGGTCACTGACGCTGCTCTGTAGGCCCATCTGTTCTCTTCAAAAACCTCAATGTGGCAGACGTTCATTCAGTCAGTCTGAGAACTAATGCCATAAGCATCACTAAAAGTTCATTATAACCTCCCTGTCCTTCCTCATTTATTCCTCCTCTACAAGTTCATCATTAGCGAAGAAAATAAAGTTTAACGTTTCATTTTTATATTTTGCACTGAAATATCCACGCATGACTTGAGAAATTTTATAATATACCTTTTGTGTTTTCGCTGCATCGGCTTGACAAAATTTTCTGAATTTTTACGGTAGCATCATGGCACCCACAAATGACAATGTACTTCATTCTTGTAGATTGAAATCTGCGTAACACCCGGTAGACGATTTCAAAATATATGACGTCATGGTTTTCGACGCGGGAACCTGAAGATGGCGTTTCCACCCTCAATTTCTTCTCGCGCTTTTTCCCACTTACCAGGCGCCATCTTACGGTAAATGTGGCGTTTCCGGGATTGTGAAATTGTACTCCACTAATACGCGAAAGATCATTCTGCTATTCAGTGTTTCTTTAACAATTAAGGTGGCTCAGACATCCGCATAAACTGCGTACATGTTTTTTTTTTTCTCGGACAGTGCGGAAATCAATACAAGCGAAGTCGCGTGGTTATGACGCGTTTGTCAGGCGAAATTTTTCATCTGCATCTTTGAAGGCGGGTTATCCCAGTGGAAACGCCCTATATAAAACAAACGAACTGTTCATTACCATGCATTTTATTACTCGTTTATCTGCCTTTATTGAGTTTCTTTTTTTTTTACTGCAGAACTTGTAGAAATGGGGTGGCCTAGGTGATACCCCAAGCTGTTCACAGCCACGACCACCCGGTAGAAACACCAAACCGGCCAGAACAGAACACCCGCGTTGTTCTAACGAGGCTTTTGAGTACATAAATGACACTCTCCACCAATCCGTCCTCATTTTCTAAACGTACATGTTTGAGTGAAAACTTTAATATCCTGAAACGATGGTCAAGTGATACCGCGCATACAGTCACTGAAAATTTAAACGCAAACAAGACTGCGTTGCAAAGTGGGAAAGGTTTCACGAGTGAACTCAGACGCACTTTCTAGATCTGTGGTTACGAAATTACGCGAGATAACGTGACCACAAAAGATGCCTTGGGCCTCAAAATGCGCGCTGTATATATATATATATATATATATATATATATATATATATATATATATATATATATATATATATCGCAATGAGACATTCAAGACTAAAAGCGAATGTAGCATTATTGTACATTCGCTTTTGGTTCATTATTATATAATACCCCTGACACACGGGCACCCTGAAGTCCTTTAGACAAGGGGACATCTTTCGGAAAGGCGTTCGGGCGCAGTGACACATGACAAAGGAGTAACTCCTTTACGGCCAAGATCCTTTTCGCAAAAGCAGATCCCGCATCTACTTTTCTGGCAGGAAGGGAGTACTCTCGCATACAGTGTGTATAATTTATCAATAGAAGAAAACGTGTCGCAACACTGCGGTGCACTGTCAGTATTTTTTGCGCTGAGAAAATGCTTTCATTTTCAGCAGCAGTGCGATTTGTTGAAAAGTGAAGGCCTATAGTCTGTCCATACTCTCAAACGCCTGCATTACGTCACTAGCGCGATCATGTTAGGGTTGGCAGCGGCAGTTGCTGTGTGAGCGACAAGAGTCAGGCCCACCTCAATTGTTGCTTTATCTCTGTCTCTGCGCTGAGACATCGCAGGACCACGACGAAACGCGGCACGCCGTCACTGACCCAGCTGGACGCAGCCATGTAAAAAGCACGACAAAAAACAAAAACAGCAAAACACCGACTGTTCGTAGTTGCCAGACGAACTTAATTTGCTGCTAAAAACGCAAAAAAAGCGAAAGAAAAGTAAAGGTATGCACATTATAAGCCACCAGACAATAAAAAAAACGGTTTTATGCTCCGGCCTCGCTGAATGTGATGTACATGCGCAGATTCTTTTTAATATTTCCAATCTTGCTGCTTCCACAAACAGCGCCATTTTTTCTGCAGCGTTCTTCTGAGGCACCACCTAAAGCAGTAGTCCGGTGCCGTGTGTCATCAGCGCCACTCCTTTCTGCAGCTGGTCCCCTTAGGAGACAAAAGGGGTTTACTTCAAAGTACTTTACTTTTGCCCGTGTGTCACGGGTATAATATTGGATCATTACTATATCACCCTTTCATATATAGCATACAGTCAAATATTTTAATTTTACGACATTGTGATAAAATGACATGTGTAGTTTAACGTCCCAAAACCACCATATGATTTTGAGAGACGCCGTAGTGAAGGGCTCCTGAAATGTAGGCCACCTGGGATTCTTTAACGTGCACCCGAATCCGAGCACTTAAGCCTACAGCACATTCGACTCCATCGAAAACGAAGCCGCCGAAGTCGAGATTCGATCTCGCGACCTGCGGGTAATCAGCCGAGTACTTTTGCCAATAGACCACCGTGACGGGTACGACATAAAGTTGACGGTAGGAAGCTTCGAGCGAGAAACAAAAGCACAATCAAAAAGCCGCCATACCTGCACTGTAGTTGATCACTTGAAGTACACGCGGCCATTTTCTCACAGTAATGGCGGCGATTACTAACGAAACGAATATTATCAACAAAGCCAACGAAATGGGATACGCGTATCACCTTCAAGTACGCTTCCCACACTCCTTCCGAAAGCACGACGATCCGATGTGCAAGACCCGGCGCATTCCACAGCCCTCTATACTGTTCGGAGACGGGGTGGCTTGAAAGATGACGCTCACTTTCAGCAGGGTTATATTCTCTCTCTTTCTCCATCTCTCTTGAAAGAGATACTCCAACCTTATCACTGTTTCTTTTTCGTGATATTCCGTCTTTGCTTTAAAGTTATCATGGTTCAGCTCGCCCAGGCGTGACTTTGCGAGCACGTAGTCAATATTTTGTTAACAGCAAACATTGCCAAAGATTTCTATGCACGGAACGGCGTCCTTCATTAGGAAAAAAAAAAAACTGGGGAGGGACAACTCGCGTAGGGAAGAGTGTTCCTGCTCCCCTAACATGAAACATGGGGAGAGGAGAAGCATGCAGTGCATGCCGGTGTTTCCACCAGCAAAATGACTGCTAAGGGGACGACGAGAGAATAAGGATCCGAGCGGGGTGATTCGCCACATTGTTTCGAGAGAGATTTCTTTGACGAGGCACTGCCAAGCCCGAGACTGGGCATGTAAGTGAGGTGTTCCAGTTCCACTAACGGTGATGGTTATTTGTGGCGCTGACTGTCACCTTCCTCGTTTTTATTGGACCGGTTGCGAGCATAAA